CATCTAGCATCCCAATGGACTCAAGTTCAACTTTTAAATCTTCCAACTAAGTCACCAATCGCTTGAATTGCGTGCCTTGTGTGTTTCCACCACCACCGATTCCTACATACTGGTTACTGACGTACGCACCGTCCTCCACGGTAGCATAAGAGAGTTGGCTGATTGGCGTCCGGGTAATCATCGAAAGAAGATCTACCGGCTATCATAAACAATGTGTTGTCGGATATAGGAAAGATAATCGCCCCAGTTGAGCGATAAGGTGTTGAGACTGTGGCAAACTGTTCAAGGAATCAATTCAGATCAGATCATGGATTGTTCAGAGCGTTTGTGAGTTGTATGGTATCAAGCGCACTTATTCCACAAGCAAAGTACTACACCATTCCCGGCTCTTTGGCCACCTTCTCCATCAGAATAACAGTCAGGGAGATTCTTTTCACTTGCTCGATTCACCTCTTGTACGTAATCCTCTCTTCCAATCGGTCGAACTCCTGGACCAAAACTTGACTTGCTTCTCGTCGCACTGCATTTGCCCCACTAAGTGCTTCTAATCTTGACTCTCTCCAAGCTTCAATAAGATCAGTCGGTAATTCATCCTCCAAATCTAGATTGTCTAGCTCTAATTTGACCAATGCATCAGTTGTGAAAGCGTTGTCGAGAAGTAATCCCAGCCTATCCTGATAAGATGGATCACAGCTGATATAGAAATGTTAGTTGATATAGGAAAGGTGTGATTGCATACTTGTATAACTAACCTGATATAGAAATGTTAGTTGATATAGGAAAGGTGAGGAAAGACCAATCCATCTACAACCAAATCTACAATAGATATATAACAATATGCTAATAGGTTATAAAGATATTGATAGAGAGAAATGTAATTAGCATAACAACATGATGTCATTTACAATCACTGTCACATAATAGACATCCATAACATATCCTTTGCATCATCATGATTTGAACAAATTGGGCTATCAGGTGGAGATTCAGCTTTAGGAAGAGGTGGGATGATTCCTTGAGCACTGTATCAAAGAAATAAAATGTTAAGTTGTGTTAACTGCCTTGCTGATTCACTCAAGCAACAGCAAAAATCGGACTTACCGGAGGGCATCATTACTTTTATCCAATAAAATGTATTGATGAGCATAATGTAACTTCAGTACGTGTCTTCTCCATGACCAGTCCATGACCAGAGTTGCTCACAGTTTGGTATCTTCTGAATAACAGAGTGCTGGCATCTGGTTTTTGAAGTGGCAAATGTCAATTCGCTACTCTTTACCATCAGGCTTCAATTGTGTGTCAAACATTTCAGCCCATCGGATAACCGTCCCCAATACAGACTTGGTGTGATGCCGGGTCCTATGTACCAAAGGCTGTAACGGCGCCCTTGACTTGGCATGGGGGTTCTTTCCCATTGAGCCTCTCCACCCTGATGCAAATAACTTTAAGCAGCTAGAAGCTACCCGCCTAAGAGATTCATGGGAGAAACAATGCCTTGTGGATTATTACAATTGATCCATCCTGCTTGCAGGGAAGGGATTATTGTGTCTTGGTTTCATGAGAGCTACCAAGACAAATCTAGATAATCTGGCAAGTCTCACAGCTCAAATTGACTCTTAAGATACATCCACATTTTGATACCCCTCAA